ACATAGCTTAACATATGGTGTTTCTCACTGTTTGTGGTTTGTTAATAGTCCATAATCCTGGCTTTTATTTTTTTTTTCTTTGACCCAAGAGTTACGGGAGTTTTCAAATTTTCCCAAGGATTTGGATTTTTAAGTTATCATCGTTGGTTTTTCCATTCTCTTATTCAACAGATACGTAGGCAACATGCTTTCTGTGTTCGCAGCCATACCAGATGGTATGGGAATGGCGGCGTGAACACAACCAGCGTGGCTGCTGCCTTCATGGGACTCACTGTTTGCTGAGTGAGACACGTGTGATTGCACAATGAATCCCAAGCATTATAAATATTGTGGGAGAAATCTGAGGGTGGCTCACGACTTCTCAGTTTTTCTAGAAGTGAAGTTGCCTGTTGTATTTAGTGAACTCTTATTTCCTTATCCCTTTTCCTGAGCACGAATGCTTTCAGGATATGTTTGATTCAGGCAGGCAAGTACCTTATTTTCTTGTATGTTTTTTTTGATGGTTTCTTCCTGAGGCTTGCCATAAAGTCTGAAATCTCAAGGACCCTCAATTCGTATGAGGTTTTTAGTTTATACTCTAGTTGTAATAAAAGTTTAAAACATACATGAGTAAATGCTGTTATTTTTTTAATAAACCCTATATTTAAAAAATTCAAGTCTTAAAATAATTTTTTCAGCATATTAAACACAAATTAATTTTAAAAAATCACTAAGTTGCAAAAGGCTTAGTGAAACAACTAGGACTCATTGCTCCTTCCATTCTTGATTCATCCCCCAGAGGCAATCACTTCTGGTTATTGAGTGGTTTCTTCTGGTAGTTTCTGTCACACTTCCACCAATGTACTTTTGCTTCAGTTTCTTGATCCATTCACTTTACATAACGGTGACTTCTTTGTATGATGGATATTGGTTTAGTTTTATTGAACCACCTTCTCTCTTTCTTCAAAAACACTCATGTTACTATAGTTAAATTTCTTTTGTTAAAGGAGTATTGAGTGTTTTAGTTATTAAGAATGTGTAAATACAGTTCTTTGTATATTCAAGTAGTAAATTATGAATAACATGGCCTTCCTGGAATACCTTTTTGTTTCCCTGGCATTTCTAATTCCCTTAAAAAAAAAATTCTTACTCTAACTACCATCTATCTTCCAGATAATATATACAATGCTATAATAATACAGTATTTAGTGTTATATAATTATGGTATAATATTATAGTATAGAATACGTATTATAACATATATAATAGTGAATAAAGTTATATAACATGTATAATATCTGGTAGATAGCTGGTATATTTAGTAGACACATACACATATACATATATATAAACTATTATTATGCATATTTTACCATAATTTTATATAATACGGTGGACTCTTAACATGGGTTTGAACTGTACGTGTCCACTTATACACAGATTTTTGTTTTAATAAATCCAGTACGATGTTTTTTATGTATTTTCTTTACGATTTTCTTAACATTTTCCTTTCTCTAGCTTACTTTATAGTAGGAATACAGTATATAATACATTTACAAAATATGTGTTAATTATGTTGTCGGTCAACAATAGGATATGAGTAGTTAAGTTTTGGGGGAGTCAAAGTTATATGTGGGTTTTTTTAAAATTTCTTTTAATGTTTTATTTATTTTTGAGAGAGAGAGAGGCAGAGAGAGGGAGACACAGAATCCGAAGCAGGCTCCAGGCTCTGAGCTGTCAGCACAGAGACCAACGCAGGGCTCGAACTCAGGAACTGTGAGATCACGACCTGAGCCGAAGTCGGACACTTTACCGATGGAGCCATCCAGGTGCCCCTATACGTGGATTTTTGACCATGTGGGTGGTCAGCTCCCTAAATCCTGCACTGTTTGAGATTCAACTACATACATGTGTATATATGCGCATATATACACATATATATGTAAAATATAATTTTTAGATTATTTTATTATATATAACAAACATATATAATATTATCTTATATCACCAGACTTTTATATAATATACAAAATCTTAAAATTATTTTATTTATTTTAATTTTTTATTATGTGTAATATATAGATCTTTCTCCTCCCCAAACAAACATGCTCTCCTGTCCAGTTTTCTGTTGAGCCTTCTTCTTCTCTGGAGACCTCTCTTCCAGGGCTGAGATAATGCGGACCAGTCATTCTTAAGGCTTAGCTGATCATCTGTCATCCCAGAACCTCCGTTTACTGCTCCTGGATGGGATCCGCTGTTTCTTGTATCCCATTATCTTCTTGTACTTGGTTTATTCCTTTATTTTGCTAGAGGAAGTTCTCGAGTAGTTTTCAAATACATGCATGGGAAATAGATGTTTGGAGTGTTCTGGAATCCTGTACAATACTATTCAGAAGTCTGATGCCATCTTGAATTTACTATGTAGGCACAGAGTGGAGCAGATGAGTGAAGTTAACCAGATCCAGCCCTTCTGTATGTGTATGTGAGTATGTATATGTGGGGGGGGGGGGGCAGTGAGGGTGTAGATGGGAAGTATGTGTATAGAGACAAGGTTAACGGAGGGAAGTGTGACCTGGAGGAGCCTGGTTTTAAATTTCGGGAGCATGCAAATGTGGCTGCCTTTGGTTGTCTCACTCTGCTAAAGAACCCCAGTTGTTGGTTTGAAGTGAATGTGCAGGGTGATTTTTAAGCACATCTCCCAGGCCTCTAACCTCATATTGGCATGGTCATATCCATCGCTCAAGGCACAGATGACAGTCTGTATCTTGCATAGAGGCACTTGACAGGCTAGGCGGGTAGACTGGACGTGGCAGGGGATGTGGGCAGTTTCCCAGCTGGGTCCAGAGAACCAGTGGTGTAAGCATTGAATGCCAGCACGGCTCAGCTGCAGTGTGTGAGGATAACAGGGATTTGTTTGACTGCTCGATGAACATGGGTGATTGCCAAAGCACTCAGTGAGGTTCTAGGCTGCATTAGTAAAGAAATGACCTTCTGGCCAGCGGAGTAAGGAATCGGCTCAACTTTACAATGGGGCAGTTCACAACTAAAGGATCTGTTCTGATCTGGGTATATATTGTTCTGTAGTGATTTCTCCTTCTTAAATGTTCATTTCAAATGCTCCTCTCTACGCAGAGCTTTCCTTAACACTTCCCTTGCCCATTATTTATTATTTGTCTGGGTTCTTGGTCTCTAGTTACTTAACACGTTGCACCCTCTCCTCTGTTGAATCGCGTTCCCCATAGATTCTCAGATAAGTCACTTCATCTTTGTGATGTTGAACCTGCTGGTTCTGGCTCCATCTTTGTCGTTGGGCTTTGTAAAGATCAGATGAGTTGTATATCATGGTGTTGTACAAAAAAGCAAATGGGAGAGAGTGTTGTTTCCTGTCCATTTGTTAATCTGATATTGAGTAGCAGCCTCGAATTCGCAAGCTGGTTAAGCAGCTGTTGTTCCTAGTATCTGTGTAGCATCTCTACCTTGATGTGTCCTGAATTTCTCAGTGGGGGAAAAAAAGCTTGCTATTTATTCTCCAGCTTCTTCAACACTGGGACCTTTTTTCCAGCTTATTCTTTTGCCTCTCTTCCCTAATGTCCTTAAGCTGTCACTGCTTAGCTGGGCTATTGTACGCCCGCATCCTCTGGGACTCTGGAGGCCAAGGATCAAGGAAGTGGGCGAAGCCTGCCCAGGGCAACTTGGGCTCTCTGACGCATCAGTCATGGCCTGAGTCGGGGATTTGCAGACCCAGGTGCTGGGAACTGCGCTGTATTTGTGCAGTAACCCAAAGGGGTTACTTTGGTACAAGAGGCCTGCTTCCCCTGGTGCTAGACAGCTACTGTTCCACTTCTCCATGCTGCGTGACGGGGCAGCTCGACATTGCCCTTCTTAGTGTGATGGATATGGCTGGGCTGCCGGTCCACGTTCTTGCCCAGACCATCGGGGTCTCAGAACCACGCTGGACCAGAGATGCCCCATTTATACTCCTGACCTCAGCCACTGATCTCCAATCCCGGAGGCCCTGGCTTCTGGAAGCCAAACTTGGGAGAGCTCCCAACATGCTCCCACAGCCACATGCTGTGCCAAAGCCAGTACTCTTTGAGTGACTGTCCCCCTGAATCCTCCTGCGAAGCCAGGTCTCCCAGCCTAGACTCCTTTCCTCAAAGCCGTTTTAAGGAGCCTTATTGCCATTTTCTGGCACTGAGTCTTTACCTGGGATTTGCAGGACAACTGCAATATGAGTCCTTAGTATCAAGTCTGGAAAACCAGGGGTTCAGATTTCTATTCCTTCCTTCTAAGAAGGCTCCTTACACACAATGACCGTCCTTGGTCACCTGGTGACCAAACTTTACATACCAGAGATCTCAGTCATAAAGGATCTTTTATGTCCCTGTGGCTACCTTCTCATCCTGTCTTTGCTAAGATGACTGCATATGGAAGAGGAGTTTGGCTTCTTTTGATTAAAATACTGTACCCAGTATAAATATAACACAACCATAAACTCCAGGGAATCAGGGATAGCCCGATTAGAGAGGCAGACTGGCTGTGGGCACAGCATACGAGTGGACCATGTCAAATTTCCTGGGACCTTCAGCAGTGGTGACGATGTTGAGGAAGGAGCAGAAGGCTGTGGACCCAGGGGGAGACCTGATATAGCGGTGCAGTAACTCTAAGTGACTTCTTGTCTCTAATCTGCTTTACTTTGTGAGCTCCTTCTGTCATAGGGTCTGTGCACCCTTGGAGGCAGGTACTGTGCAGGGCACTCTGGCATCATTTAGAACAGTGGACTAGGTAGCTTTGGAGGATATCTTCCAAGTGTGAGATTTGGTGAAAAATGACAAAATTGAAGCCATGAAACTTCCCATCTCTGCACACGACAGCTTCTTGAAATCTTCAGTGGTGTCCAGGATTTGGCATACTGCAGAAGGACGCTTCCTTCAGTCTTTGTGCACAGTTATCCTTTTTCCTTAGCTTCTTCTGGTTTATTTCTCTTCTGTCTCAGACTCTCTGTTTTCTTTCCACTCCAGCTTTTGAATCGAAAAGACAAGACAACCTTTGAGAAACTGGACTACCTGATGTCTAAAGAAGATAATTACAAGCGGACCCGGGAATATATCCGAAGCCTGAAGATGGTTCCAAGTATTCCCTATCTAGGTAGGAGTCTGAATTGGCTTTATTATTTATTAAGAAATCTGTTCAGTGCCAAGTAAGATGTTTTTACAGTTTCTAGTTGATAAGTTTCCGGAAGAAGTGTGGGCCGTGGATAAAGAGGTAATTGGTTAGCTCCTCAGATTGGAAGAGGGTGTTGATACTTCCCAAGGATGGGAACCTCGCTGAGAGCCTTGAAACAAGGGATATTCTGCTTCTTACATAAAGTAACCTGTGAATCACAAACCTCCCCAGCCTCCAGCCCAGAAGGGTCATGAGACTTTCAGGTTCATCCACATTCTCTTGAACTAGGGGAGCTCAGGCCAAAACTCTTCTGTTCTGGTTTCTCTGGGCATTATTAACGTATTTTATAAGATTTGTATCAACAAAATTATAATGATTATGGATTTCTCTGATTAGAAAATGACAAATGCTCATTGTAAAGAATCAGGAGGAGAAGAAAATTAATATCATTTGTTATCCCATGTAGATGTGATCACTGTTTTCCATCATACGCTTTCATTTGTTTGGGTGCGTATAAAAATCCATGTTTACAGTGAACATTTAATGTTATTACTTGCATTTCTATATTGTGTCTCAGTCCTGTCGGATGGGTTTGTCGGGCTCGAATTTGCTTTCTGACATGGACCTTTCGACTGCTCCTCCGTTTTTGTTGTTAAAATGTTGCAGTCAACACCCTTGTTGCAAAAACCTCATATATAGTTATGATTATTCCCTTACAATAAATTCTTATAAGTGCGATTATTGGGTCAAAATGTTTGCAGAAATTTGCCTTTTTATGTATGTTTTCGAAACGCTCTCCATAGAGGCTGTGGCAACTTATACTTTCATGGCAAGGGGATAAAATGTCCTGTTTTCCCATATGCACAAATAATGTGTATTTTCATGTGCACGGGTTTTTTTCTTTTCCTTTCTCTCTCAGTTTTTTATCTTTGCCAGTTTGATAGGTAAAAAGTACTTTTTACAGTTTGGGTTTCATGGTTATGCTAATTTTCTGGAAAAAAACCCACTTCTATCTTTTTATAACCTAAAAATAGTATTATCAACAAGGAAATTTAAGATTTCATAGAATTGTCTCCCTAATATTTTCAGAGCTCTAGTGTAATTTTCTGGAGATACATGTCTGACACCTTGTAAGTGTCTTCCATGATCATTGTTTTCTAATTCTTTTCAAGCCAAGTTGGGAAACTTAATTTTAGTAGAAAATTGTCCACTTGACCCAAGTTTCCAAAATTATTTGCGTAGAGTTTTTTTTCCTCATTTAATTTTCTTTGACCACATAGTTTTATGCAATATTCTCCTGTAACTTTGAGCCTTCAGTATACGAATGCTTGTATTTGCTTTGCATTCCTGACAGTTTGCATTTTTGTTTTCTCTTTCTTTTTTTAATTTGCTGTGCCAGAGGTATGTCTGTTGGTCTGTCCACAGAATTCGACTTTGTATGTATCGGCCACATTATCTTTCTGCTTCCTAGTTTACTATCTGCTGTCAGTCTAGCATGTGATCTTTCTCTCCACATCTTAACAACTCTGAAGTTGGGATGTATCTTTCAAGTGACGGCAAATAAAGCATTGCAATATCGTTTATTGGTAAACAGTTATAATGACGTCCTAAATTTGATGAAATGTGGAATTTCTGCTTTAGTCTCTGATAGTTCGTTTCTCCTGTTTTCCTTACGTTGTTTTGTTATTTCTTTTAACTACTTTGGTTGAATTAGTAGCTCATTTGTATAAATACTGCTCTCAGCACTTTAATTTGGAAGACAATTTTAAGGAAACAGTTAAGGAAAACAATTAAAATAGAGAACAGTTCACTCTGATTGCTGTTACCTGCTTTGTTATAGGGTTCTCAGTGATATATTTTTTTTTAAATCTGTGATTATAGTTTCAGTTTTTCTTTTACCCAAGTATTAAAGTAGTGGTTTTTTAACTTTTAAGGGCTTGAGTTTTCTGTTTTTGTTTTCAAATGGCTTTATTGAGATGTAATTTATGTCCCACCCATTTAAAATGTGCGGGTCAGTGGTTTGTAGTCTATTTACAGAGTTGTGCGGCCATCAACACAATTTTGAAACATTTTCATCACCCTAAAGAGAAACCCTGCACTGTTAGTGGTCACCTCCTTTTCCTTCTGGCCAACTCTCTTCTGGCCTCACCCCCCCAGCCCTTGGCAGCCATCAATCTACTTTCCGTCTCCACAGATTTGCTTATTCTGGACATTTCATAGAAATTTAATTGTACAGTATGTGGTCTTTTATGACTGGAGTTTTTCTCTTTAGTATCAGGTTTTCAAGGTTCATTCATGTTGGAGCACAATTGATGGTGTCTCATTCCTTCGTGTTGTCGAATGATATTCCACTGTATGGATATGCCACATTTTATTTTTTTATTTGATGGGCATTTGGGCTGTTTCACTTTTGGGCCATCATGTATCGTACTGCTGTGAACAGCTTTGGATTTTAAAATCACAAATCTTCCCTTTAATATTACTATTTTGTAAAATATTTTTGAGAGAGAGAATGTGCACGTGCACACAAGTTGAGGAGGGGCAGAGAGAGAGGGAGACAGGGTCCAAAGTGGGCTGTGTGCTAACAGAAGAGAGCACAATGCAGGGCTTGAATTTACGGAACCTCGACCTGAGCCGAAGTTGGATGCTTAACCGACTGAGCCACCCAGGTGCCCCACAAGTCTTCCCCCTAATTATTTTACATTGGTTTAGACTATGTGGCAGATATGCTTCCTAGGTTTTAAAAAATGTTTGAGATTTGTCTTGTGGCTTAATATAAGATCGGTTTTTGTAAATCTTTCACGACTGCTAGAAAAGAAGCTGTAATCTCTCAAATTACTCCCATTATTACATTATATTATTTAAATTACTAATTTGTGAGAACTTGGTCTATCAAGGACAGAAATATATGTGGGACTCCCCTTGCATTTCTAATAGCTTCTGCCTTACGTTATTTAGTATATAGAAGTTTGTAACAGTTACAAATTCATGGTGAAGCGTCCCATACAAAGTGATCTTGATTCTATTTGTTATTTGCTTTTACTTCTTTGTCTGACATTAATTCTGTGAAATCTGTTTTATTTTTTATTTGCGTTCATTTTATAAACCTGTGACCGTATTTTGGGTGTGAATATCTTAGATTGCTTTGTTCTAGGTGTGTTCCTTGAGAACTGCACTTAGTTGGACCCAGGATGAGAGACCTTGCCTTTCACTCACTGACATTTGTTTAGTCTTCATGCCATATTATTGAATTGAACATCATTCCGTGCTTTCTCATTCTTTCCTTGCTCTCCTCTTACGGCTTACTGTAAACCACAGTGTCTTTCCACTTGACTTGCCAGTCACTATCTCAGAGGGAGGAGGGTGTGTGGATATGCGCAGCTCACAAACCTGTTGCCGCTTTGCCCGAGGCTGATCAACAGAGGGATGAAATTGATAGTCTGAGGGTGAGGGTTGTCTAGCGCAGGCCCACTGGTTCAACTAGCAGAGATGCTCCTGGATTGTTAAGGACGGCTTCTTGTCTACTCCGGAGAGTGGTCATGAGAGCTGCTGCTTATTGCCTGCTGTCTGTGTGTCTGGCACTCTGCTAGGCATTTTGCTGATGGCCTGATCTCAGTGAACACTCGCAGTGGCCCGGTGAATAAGCAGGCACTGAGAGGTCGCCTAGGGTCACATAACTAGAGAGTGGCAGAGCCAGGACTTGGCCCCCGTGGTCTGGCCGTAAGCCCTAGGCTGTGACACTGCCCTCTCCTGACTCCCCACGTCCACTGCCCAGGTCATTGTTTTCCTGCTCTACCCTTACAGTTGCCACATGTGTGTCCTCTGCTATTTATGACTTGTGGGTGGCCTCCACCAGACACCGTATGAAGTAGGATGAATTATCTTGAATCTTTCTTGCGGCACTCTCTGTTCTTGGACCTCACTGCGGTGCTGTCTTGGGCTTCTGAGGGCAAACTGCACCGATACCGTCTCCCCTTTCTGATCCCCTGTCCTTTATAATCAGACTGAGCGTATGAGTCACCTCCTCGGGCCACTGGCCAGAGGTCCCTCGTGTGCCACCCGATGACTCTTGTCAGGCTGCAGGACAGGTCCGCCCTTGCGGTGGACACACTGCCTGTGTCGGCCCTCAGTTTCTGGAGCCGTGGCCCTCCTTGTCCTGCATGGCCTCATCTCGGCTGCCTCTTGTGGAGTGAGGTGAGTGCCTCTCTGGAGGGAGGCCTTGGTGCTGCACCACCCTCCTGCCTCTGCCCCCGAGAGCCCAGCCTCTGCCTCGCTCCTGCCCTTCCTGCCTGACGGCCGCTTCCCTCTCCCCGCAGCCAGTCGGGCTGCATTTCTCATGCTCTATCAGAATGACTCCTGACATATATACGAGCGAGAGGGAGAGACCAGGAGGCGACACCAATGTGCTTTCTGTTCTCAGGATGGCACACGCGGGTTTACCACAGGGGACACCATGGTTCCGTTAAAGAGAATGAAGCAAGATTCCCCTTCTGAGGCTCAGTGGGCTCGTCGCCCTAAGGGCAGTCGGGCCCTACCTGCCCATCTGGTCACCGTGGACAGACCCTGCCCACAGCCAGGTTGTGGTTTCAGTGCTCGTCCCTCTTGGAAACCCAACCTGTCCCGGGGCTGGATTTGTTTATCGAAGGAGGAATAGTTACATAATTCCTGGAAAGTACAATATAGGAAAAAATGTCTGAAACCATTTCTTTTTCCCTTGGCAAAGTCCTCACTGTAGGTCTTTCCCTTGGGGGGAGGGAGTTATTCTCTGGGACGGACTTCAGGTCAGCCCCGGATATTTCTTGCTGCTTTGTTGCCTCCATTGCTGGAGACCTCGAATGCTGCTTCGGCAGATATTTGCCTCTAATGGCAGGTATGGGGTTTATTTTTATAACAATTCTTTTGAACCTGTGTGGAAGGTTCTATGGCAACTGGTTTCCTGGGATTATTCGGGACCGTCTGCTTGTACCCGCACGTAGCAGTTG